CTGAACTCTAGGCCTGGGCGCTGTCCCTTAGCTCTTCAGCTCAAGGCTAGCACTCTACCACTTGAGCCACAGTACCACTTCCGGCTTTTTTCTTTTTGCTTATGTGGTGCTGAGGAATCGAACCCAGGGACTCATGCTTGCAAGGCAAGTGCTCTACCACTGAGCCACCTTCCCAGCCCAATTAATTAATTATTTTATTTAATTTTTTGGGTCCGGTTGTGGGGCCTGAACTCTGGGCCTGGGCGCTGTCCCTCAGCTCTTCAGCTCAAGGCTAGCGCTCTACCACTTGAGCCACAGTGCACTTCCGGCTTTTTTCTTTTTGCTTATGTGGTGCTGAGGAATCGAATCCAGGGCCTCATGCATGCAAGGCAAGCGCTCTACCACTGAGCCACCTTCCCAGCCCTGTTAAATTTATTAGTTGTAATTTTTTTCATGAGTAGACAACAGTGTGTGTGTATGTGTATGTGTATGCACACGTTTGATCGTGTCATCTGCAAAGCCAGGTAATTTTACTTTTTCCTTTCCAATTTAGATGACTTTGACTTATTTTTCTTATTTAATTGCTTTGATTAGTACTTGTAATACTATGTTCAATAAATACACTGAGAATGATGCCATTGTTTGTTCCTGGTATTCCAGTAAAACTTTTAGTTTTTTTGACCCCTAACTGTGCTGTAGCTTTGGGCTTAGCTATATGGTTCTTACATTGAGGTAGCAACGCTCTTTCTTGAAAAACTTTTTGTTTTTGTCATTTGGACAGGAAACCTGGGTACCGGGTTACCAGTTTCCTTCTATTTGTAGCTCACAGAACAACCAAAATCTTAGTAATGGTAATGATGATAATAATGATGAGGATGTGTTAGGAATCTTATTTAAGGAAAAGTGAGTTAAGAGAGGCAAGCCAGACCTGTCATAGGACATTGCTTGTGTTTTGTCAGGTAAAATAGCCATAGAGATGCAGAATAATTCCTCTCCTTTTCCTTCCCCTCTCTGTACCAGTTTTAAAGCTTAGACTCAAGTCCTGAGCACTTTGTGTTTTGTTTTGTGTTTTTTTTTTTGGCCAAGGGTACTACCAGTTGGGCCACAGCTCCACTTTAGGCTTTTTGGTGGTTAATTGGAGATAAGAGTCTTAGGGGGGGGGGGGAAAAGAGTCTTAGGGGAGTTTTCTGCCTGGGCTGTCAGTGACTCTCAGATCTCAGCTTCCTGAGTAGCTAGGATTACAGGTGTGAGCCACCAATGCCTGGATAGAATAATTTGTTTTTCAGTGTTTTTGCTGCATTACTCAAGTGTTGGCAATTTATATATGATGTTTGTATACAAGCAAATGTTGATGTGTATGCATGTTAGTTTATATATTCAAATACAGTACATAAGCTGCCAAGATTTTCTCACCCAGTACATTATCTAAATAAGTATCTGGAAGGAATTGAAGCAGAGATACCTTCTTAGGGAAAAAACTATTTGTTAACACCAGTACACCTGTGATTGTATTTTAAGATCTAAGTTTAGGACATATGAATGAGTGATTGTATTTTAAGATCTAAGTTTAGGACATATGAATGAGTCCATTTTTCAAATGGCCCACTATTAAGCTAGCCCATATTAATAACTTGTAGCTTGAAGGATGTTATCAACAAAATGATTGTTATAAGCTTATAAGAAAAGTATCTACTGTTTTACATTTTTTATATTTGCACATACTGAGTAATAATTATAATGTACCTAGCTTTTTAGTTACAAATTTGAAACATGGACTTTAGCATTCGTATGGTAAAGGTGGATATTTAAGTTTGGATTTTTCAGTCTGAAGTCCAGATTGTAATTATGAAGTGGGAGCCATGCTTAACTTGTAAGTTTTCCTAGCATAGACCTCTCTGCCCAGAGAGGGCCCGTCTTGTGGGATAGAGGAGGAACTTGGATGACTGTATGAGGGAATCTTGACAGGTAGTTCATTGCCAAGGCTTTGTGGCTGAAGAGCTGATGATGGACTTGTGCAGTGTGGCCACATAGCTCTGGAGAGGAAAGTAATGCGTTTTGGATGGCACTGTTGTTGTGCCTGCCAATAAGAAATTAAGGGAACCTGTCAGCTGAAGCATTCTAATTCTAGTGCAGCTACATGTGCCCTGGTGGGAAAGGTAGCCATAATTCCATTGATCTTCCCATCTGTTTGGCATACAAGCTAACGATGAAATTATTTGCTAGCTCTGTG